CTTATGAGAGATTACTTGAGAAATAAAAGGGAAAATTTTGAGGTACAACACATTCTTGAGGACTGATACAAGAATTATTACAAAGTCATCCTTACATTGGCAATTTCGAAATATTTTCAAAACACACACACATAAAGCAAGTTTTCAAAAGTTAGCTAGCAATTAAGGGCCCATGGATAACTAAGGATGAAAAGGGTGTTAACACCTTCCCTTTTCATAACTTACCCCCAGAACTAAAAATATATCAAAGGTCTTTCTTGTTCTTTTCACCTTTCCTAAATATTGGATAAAAGAAAAGTCGGTGGCGACTCTTGCTATCTGCATATTTAGATAAAACCAAAAAAGTCATTTCTCCCACCGTATTACATGGGCCTCGACTTCATCTTTGTCGAAGCGGGTGTCGAGGTCAATGTTGTCGACCTTTGGTGAAGCCTATAGTTCTTCAACTCGAACAGGTTTGTCCGTCGAGGTAGCCGTTGTTGTCGAGGTAGATGCTCTTTTAGTAGGTCGTGCCTCAGTGTCGACCATTTTTTGCCCTTTGGAAGCCGCGTTGAAATATCTCCTGGAAAATGAGATGTCTCTATGGATAGTGGCGACGCGGGCCCTCTTGGTGTAGAACTTCATATTTAAATGCATCGTGGATGGTACGGCGGTCAGCTCGGCCAGTGTTGGTCTCCCCAGGATACAGTTGTAGAGAGATGGGTAATCAATCACTAAAAACCGCACTTTGACCCGTCGGGATGCAGTTTCTTCCCTGAATGTGATGAACAGCTCTACGTAGCCCCATGGCTTGGAGGTCGAGCCGTTATATCCTTGCAGGTTGGAACCCATGTATGGTGACAGGTGGGTATCGTCGAGCTGCAGGGTGCGGAACATGTGGGTGTACATAACATCGGCGGAACTCCCCTCGACGACCAGGATACGATGTACATCGAAGTTGGCCATTTTTTCCCTCACCAGCAGAGGAATACTGGAGTTGGGGGATCCGTCAGGAAGCTCCTCAAGATATAAGGTAATCAGCTCATATTTTCCATTGAATATTTCAAGGGTTATAGCCTGGATCGGGGCTATATCCACCAGCTCATTGAGTTTCCTCTTTGTTGAATTCACCGAGATGTCAGTGAATCCCCCGCTAGATATGACCATGGCAGAGGGGAACTTCTACCATCTGCTGCGGGTGAACAAAGGCTCTTCATCTTCAAGATTGTCGGGGGTGTGGAAGTCCTCGGGCCTTGAGATGTAGAAGGCTACCTGGAGGGGACCAGATTCATCGGATGGTCGGGTATCCTCCTTAATTTCATTAACCTCACGGGTATCTCGGCGAGGGGAGTCATTTCGCTTGTACTGCCTGGGTCTCCCTTCCTTAATGAGAGTCTCGATGGCATCCTTCAGGTGGACGCAGTCTTCGGCTAGGTGACCGTGGCTCCGGTGGTATTGATAGTATTTTGTTTTGTCGGCCCCGGGTTTTGTAGATGTGGGTCGAGGACGTCTGATCCTTCCGTCCTTGAACTCAGCGTTGGAGCACTCTACAAGGATACGCTCGCGGGAAGCGACTAGTGGGGTGTATCCGGTGAACCGCCTGACTGATCCTTTGTGCTCGCGGGGGTCGCGAGGATTCTCCTCCCTTCTCTTCTCCCTAGTACGTCGAGAAAGGTCCACGTCATAGTGTCGTGGGATGCTAGTTGATCCGCGGTTCCTCGAATTGCAGGCGTTGTTGGTTGCCTCTTTTTGCTCGTAGTCCATGTACGCCTGGGCTTTCTCGAGGAGGGCGTCAAAAGACCTGGGGGTTCAATACCGACGGCCTTTCTAAACTCAATGTCTGGGAGGAGTCCCCTCTCGAGCAGGTATCTCTTCATGTGATCAGCGTATGGGACCTGAACAGCCTCGCAGTTGAACTGGTCAATGTATTCTGAGGGTATCATATCTCCTCTGGACGATTGCCTCAAAGGAGGCCTCAGTCTTCAGAAGTCTACGAGATGCAGTGAAGCTACTGATTAATTGGTTTTTGAGGCTCTTCCAGGAGGTGATTGACCCGGGGAAGAGGTTCTTATACCAATCCATGGTTGTTTTCCTCAGCATCGTGGGGAACAGCCTGTATTTAATTGGGCCTCCGACGTTGTGGTAGTGAAGCATCTCCTCAAAACCGTCGATGTGGTCGACATGATCAGCAATGTCATCGTACTCCTTCAGCACGGGAGGTTTCTCCATCCATTTAGAAATTGGGGCCTCCATGATGACTTGGGATAGTGGACCGCGGGGGTTTTCTTTGTCACTTCTTTCTGGGGAGCGAGAGGGGGACCGGTTGTAGTGGCGGCCTTTGTGTTGGTCTTGGCCACGGGGAGGGTCCCTTGGTCGAGATTTCTTTTCTTCATTGCCCCTGTTCCTTTTACGCTCAGGGGATCGTCGTTGTTTGCGCGGGGAGTGTGAATGTGTTTCTTGACAGCTTCGGGTTAGGTCCTCTCCAAAGCAGGACCTCGCCTAGTGCGGCGGGGAGCAGGGCTTTGAGACTCGTCTCGTCTGTGTCTTCGCGGGGGAGAGCAGGAACGGTCATGTCGGGGATGAGGAGTTCGTGAATCCGGTCTTCTGTGCTTTTTGGGGGCCCGACGAGTCTACTCCAGCATCATCAATAGCTCGCCCTGTGAGAAGATCGTGTAATTAGTCTGGTTAATTATCGCGAATAGGGCTCTGGTCGTGGCGTCAGCACCTTCAAGAACGGGGATCTCCTGATACACATTGGGCTCATATGCGGGGGATGGTATTCATCGTCGAGTGGTTACGAGTGGGTGGATGAAGAGGCGGTCAGTCTGTCCCTGGGGTCTTGCTCGGGAGCGGCCACGTCGTTGTTGTTGTTGTCAGTGTTATTGTAGTCGGCGTTGTTGTTATCGATGTCAGTGAAATGAATGTTTTGGTTATCGTTGACAGTTGAGTCGGCCATGACAACCTGAAGGTTAAAGATGTTGCTTTGGTCTTATGTGAATGAAAGACGGGGAAGCCAAATTCCCATAGACATGACCACTAATCGTACCTGATCAATAGAGATTGTCAAGGTCCACGAGCTTCAAGTCGAGTTGTGGTTAAATGTGAAATGGGGGTACCTGCAAGACACTCTGATGCCAAAGTAAGGTTCAGAGTAAGTGCAAGTAGAATGTGAGAGTATGATTGAATGAATACCTTATCCTCTCAAGTGAGAGAGTATTTATAGCCCTCAACGCTGAGCCAAGGTCTCCATATTGAGCTGACAGAGCAGGCCCAAAATGAAGATTGTTAGAATCTACGTGAGTAGTGAAGACCATCATGTGGTCTCCCTCTTAAGTGGACTGCTCTGAATTACTATGAGGACGCGGTTACGGTACTTTCAGGGTCAAGATAACTCTGGAATACTCTGAGACGTGGACGTCTGCCCTACGAGGAGGGTGCTCGTCAAGACCTCCTGAGAGCCGTTAACACTCCTCGACAACCCTATGACAAGGAAGGTCCAGTGAACATGTCCTCGGTGCAAGGGTAGAATCGTTGTCCGACATAGTCAATGACAGCCTCATTCTTGTTGGCCTTAACCTGCAGCATAGTTGAATTAAGTCTCGTATGTTGTTTGAGCCAAACACAGACCTAATCCAGAACAGTTTGAATATGGAGAACTGTTGGAATTGAGATTAGAAATAATAAAATAATAGTCGAAAGAATTGTTGAAAAGAGAAGGGAGTAGAGGAATGGACAAAAACAAATGACATGGCAAGTTGTGGAAGCACATAGGCATAATTGTCTTTTCTAAAATATTTAATTTTCTTATATTATAGATATTTGCCACAAATCATTTAACTTAATACTAAAATAAATAAAATTTTGCATTTAACTTAATACTAAAATAAATAAAATTTTGTACCTAAAAATTAGACAAAAATGTATCCATTGTAAAATTTGTTTATTAGGGCCTTTCTTTTTTAGCTTTAAAAAAATAAACGTTTTTCTTATATATATATATATATATATATATATATATATATATATATATATATATATATATATATCCATTGTAAAATTTGTTTATTAGGGCCTTTCTTTTTTAGCTTTAAAAAAATAAACGTTTTTCTTTATATTTTTAAAAATAAGTTTTATAGAATGTTTTTAAAAATATTATGAATTATAAATATATATATATATATATATATATATATATATATATATATATATATATATATATATATATATATATATATATATATATATATATATATATATATATATATATATATATATTATTGAAAATCAAAACATAATCGAAACCACAAATTTTATAAAAAATTAAATCTCAAAAAAAATTATAAAAAACTATTTAAAATAGCTTTAAAATTGAGTAATTTTTTAAAATTTAGTATCCAAAAAAATTTAACAAAATGATAAATATCTAAAATAACATTTTAAAATAAATATTTCAACCAAATTTTCATGTTGCACTATAAAAATCTTTTTTAAAAATAGACTAACGAACTCGTCATTAAACTAATTAAAAAATTAAGATTGTTTTACCTTCTAGGTTCACTAAAAAATCTGCATGATTTCGTATAGCCTAACAGAACCATCACATAAAAACAGATTCAGAATCACAACACTCGGTCGAAATTGTTGTTTTAAGACCAAAAACACAATTAATCCATGCTCATAAAAAGACCATTATATTTACTGTTTCCAATCAGAGGGATTAAGCTCTATATTCATATTGTAGCTTACCTAGTCACTGGAACAAAATGAGTAAAACCGCTATTTGCCATTTTAACCCTAATGAAAAGCATGGCTTACAAATGATTGGAGTGAAACAAACATGGTTTATCAATCCTAGAAAATAATAATTTCTACTAGTATTATTGAAGAATGGTGCAAGACATGCAAAATTTCAGATACAAGCATAACCAAGCTTGTCTATCATCCAAAATGGATCCAAAACCTACATTACTCTCTTCGCTATGAACCAACTCGGTCCCTTAAAAATTCCAAGCACACATTGCTTACTCATCTTTCCACTTGTTAACATATTTGAGGAAAGCATGGGCAGGGTTTTCCCTGGGTGGAGCTCGAACACGAGTAGACCTTCGAAGTATAGACTCGTCAATGGCACTATTCTGCACCAAATTCGATCTTTTTTGCAGTTCTGAACTGTAAACATGCAACAGAAAAGAAAAAATCTCCACAAGTCAAAGGGGAATATTTACAATATATATATATATATATATATATATATATATATATATATATATATATATATATATATATATATATATATATATATATATATATATATATATATATATATATATATATATATATATATATATATATATATATATATATATATATATATATATATATATATATATATATATATATATATATATATATATATATATATATATATATATATATATATATATATATATATATATATATATATATATATATCAACTAGTAAAGTGAATATGGAGGTAATTCTACCAAAAGTTTCAAAAATGCTTGTCTAATTTGAATGTTTGTTAAATAAACTACAACTAATTAGCACTCTTAATGTAACTTAAAATCCAACTTTTTTTATAAAATCTAAATAATACATTGCATAGTGTCAGTAATACGCGGCTACAAGGTTTTTATCATATGTGAGAATTTCTAAGCTGGTTCTAGTCAACCAAAGGTCTAGTGTAAACTCATAACTGTATAATTGGTGGATGCATTAGACTTTTTAACTTACACAAGTGCTTATATTATAAGCATCCAAAGAGGAAATAATATTGACAGCAAACTTGTTGCTTAACCCATCGCAGATTCATGGTTATTGATATAACCACATTGCTATTGAATTATATTCCCTTTGTCCCTAACTATAAGAACTTTTGGAACATTTCTTTGTCCCTAAATATTTCCTGATTATTATTAGCAACAAGTTTCTATATAATTCATAGAAATGTGGTTATATAAACCCATCGCAGAGGGAGTACTATATATTTCACTCAATTAATCAACAGCCAAAAAAAACAGCAAATTGATTAGCACAAATTGAACTTGAAACATCTAGATTATGTTGCATATTGACAAAATTTATATCTATTACCACATATCATTTCTTAGATTTATTCATTCATTTCATTTATTTTTATCTGCTTAAAGTATAAATGACCCGAGAAGCATGTGTAAGTAGCTATGTTTAATGTTGGGTTACCAAAGTTAAAATGAAGACTTTTACTAATGCATATGTATCCAAATAAAACTTGTGCATGAAAGGCTAACCAAACTCACCATATACTAGTATAACTTTTTTCCAGTTGTTTTTGCAGTTCCCTTTCACGCTCACCCTTGCAATTCAGTGAACCCATCAATGCATCAAGCTATCCACACATCCAACAGAAAATTAGAAAAAATATATATAAATACAAAATGCAAACATAGCCTGCTAACTTCATTATGTACCTCTTCCTTGCTGCTGTAGTATCCCCACTCCTTGGAGTCGCAGCTTTCAACAAATATCCTTCCATCGCGGCGGAACCACCAATACCTATTGTAATCTCGGTCTTTACCTAATGGGCTTCTACGAATAGTTCGTTTCTCCATCTCCCGTTCAAAGTATTCTCTCTGCATAATAATAAATAGACAGGCAATTAAAGATTCATTTCTAGAACAGACTACAAGATACGCAAGTAGATAGTTGCATTATTACCCTCCGCTCTACACTATTCTTGTCTGATGAATCCTTAACCACCTTCAACTGTTTTGATGATTTCTTTTTGGATACTTTTCCATTTTCTGGTGGTTCTTTCAGCTCTGAATCCAGATTTTTAGGAGTCTTTTCTGAAGCAGGATTTGATGATTTCTTTTTGGATACTTTTCCATTTTCTGGTGGTTCTTTCAGCTCTGAATCCAGATTTTTAGGAGTCTTTTCTGAAGCAGGACTTGAATGCTTAATCCCACTGTAAATTGAATTCCAAGAGGGAAAAAATGGTGAAATGCAATAAACACAATAATGTGAGTATAAGCACACATAAACAGTACCCTTGAAAAAAACTTACCTACTACCCAGTGAATTGTCTTGAATGGATGATTCTATCTCTCCATTTGTTTTCTTTTCCATGTGTCCATTTTGCATAATGTGATTATTGTTTGTTAGGATATCTGCACTGTCTATTAAATGATGCCCGTTGCTTTCTGAGTCAGCTTTCAACCTCTCCTTCTTTTCTCTTTTCTTTCTACCAAGTTCTAGTGCTTCTTCCCTTTTAGAGGCCCCAAGTTCGTGGCGTTGTTCAATTAACTTATCCAACTTCTCCCTGAAAACTGCAGTTTCAAGGACTCGATTGACCAACTCGGATAAGAGCTCTAATTTAGCATTGGCATCTACAAGGCCATAATGTCCCCGTTTTATGGTTGCTTCATAGTTCCGTAATCGAGGAATATTGATCATTTCTAGAAAATCACACAGGTATTCTCCCCAGTTAACCATTGTTATCTGAAAATAAAAATAAATGAGATAGTCATGTCAAAATCAGTAATAGGAGTAACTTAAATTAAGCAACACAGAATGGACGGATACCAGATAGCAACAAGAGTCAACTGGAAAGCCATCTCATGAAATCTGGACAGCTATTAAGTGATGAGACTAAGTCTAACAAAAAGAATTATGTATAAGTTAGATGGTAACCTTCTTCACATTCCGTTTCTCAACCACTGAAGTGTATTCACCATCATCTTTGATAAGAACTCGAAAAAGTGCAGCATGAGATTCCACAAGGAGAACCACATTGCTATCCTTATGGCAGATTGCATTTTCAAAATCTTCCAAAGAGTAGGGCCACAAGTGTAACTGTTTACCAAAAGAAGTACAAAAATCCCAAACCATTAAGAGATCCCCTACACAATGAATTGGAACATTGAAGTCTCTTGACGGAGGAGGACGGACAGTGAAAACAGGGTCATCTGGACTAGGCTTCACCAATAGATCATCAATGGGGTATTTGATTGGTATCTCCTTGCATTCTACATTTTCTAGAAATTTGAGAGCAGCTTTTTTTTAGATAAAACTTAATCACAAATTTTCATCAATGGAGTTCAAGTTTTTTTTTTTTAAATATTATGTGGCATGAAAGCTCTGGGTTGCAGTTGCAAAAGATTTTACCAGGCTTTCATTAAAAAAATAAAGATTTTTCGGGGCAGTTGTAATATTTAAGCCACAAGAGAAAATGTTTTTTATTAGATACAAAACAACAGATGCACTTCGAGAGTTCCATGCCACACAATTCCAACAAAAGAGAAAGAAACGATAGTAGGAAAATAAATTTCAATTTTCAAATTAAAATTTAATCAGAAAACAACTTATAAAATCATTAAATCAAAGAAGCCAAAAATTGCTTCAATCTATGAACTATACCTTTCTCTCGTGCAGAACCATTGACTAGTGTCCTGTCCAACTTCTTCTTTTTAAGTTTATCAGCTTCCTCCATTGATTCCTGACCATGACAGAGAAATTCATTCACAATAAAAAAATCAATAATGAAACCCCAATTTATTGAATCTCATTTATTACTAAATTAAATGTTGTCATATTGAGATCTGGCTTAAGACCAGAAGAGGGGTAGCAAGATCGCAAAATGTCATACTGCAACCAGGATTGAGAGATCTTACCCAATTAATTATGTTGGATCGAGAGCAGGTAGCAAGTTTGTAAGATCCGATGAAGATGAAAAAGTTACATACATTTGCATGTGTGTGTGTAATGTGTGTATTTATATACATACACGCACGTATACACGAGTCGCACGTGCGCATGAACATATATGATTCAACTTTATTTTATTAAGAAAGATTGATAACATAATAAATTAACTATATTTAAGAGACATTAAAGTTAATTCTTCATTCTTTTTTAATCAATAACTGGGCCTTCATATACAGAACTCGGCCGAAACCAATATGAATAAAAGGCAGCAGTAAAAAAGATTAGAAAGAAAATGGAGATAAAAACCTATCTCACATGACCCGGCCCAAACCATTACCCTAGGACAGAAACAAATAAACTAACCCTAATTTTTGTTTCTCCTAGTTGTTTATGAAAACAAAAATTATGACGTTCGGAGAAAGCAAAAAAATGGCAGTGCAAAACAACCAGAAATGCTTGTGCAGGAAAAGGGGCACAGTAAGGGTGCATAGAAAATATGGCGCAAAAAAGTGAAGATCACACAGAATCGTACAATTTTGCTCAAAACGCAATCTTGTTAATGATTCAGATTGTGTGTGTGTGTGGTGTGTGGGTGGGTGGGGGTGGGTGGGGTTTAACATCATAAACTTGTACGTTCTTGCAATTAAATCGAAACCTAGATAGCATTGATTATATCCCATAAGTAAATTATTATTTCATATGACAGCGTAAAAAGAAACAGAATACGTCCCTTTGATTTACCTCATTATTTCTTTTCTTGGAGCAAACTATAAGTCCGTCTTTGAGAAAAACCTTTCCTCTTAACTCCTCAGGAACTTCAGTTGAGATACCTTGATTTTGTGCCAGTTTGTTATGTAACACCCAAGGGGCACTTCGGTATGTAGATTCTCGGATAAAAGACTTCAGAATATTTCTACTAAAAAGAGGCTTCTTTTGCACCAAATCCTCTGCAGATATTTCAGTTTTTTCACTAATATTCTTGTTTTTGTCAAGCCAGGCTACCTCATATCGATATTTGTTGACTCCTTCCTGGATGACTTTTAGTATTCTGCATGGACATAGACCATCATCTTTTTTCCCATAAAGTTCCGCACCAATGAACAAACGTTCCTGCAGTTTTTCAGCAATAGAATCGGCAAGTTCCTTCAAAGGGAGCATACCTGCAATAACAAATTATAACTAATCAATCCATGCCAGGCAAAAGATAACATGGGCATTCTGATGAAAAGCAAAGTAATTGTACATTCAACCAGCTTCACAGTATTCTTCTACTAATGTCTAATGCAGCCAAAAAGACAAATAACATCTACTTAGTCGCCTTATTTTCACTTTGTTTCCTGTTTCAAAATATCTTTATAAGAAACAATGAAAAAAAGAAGTCGGATTCATTGTTTTCTGCACAAATCTTTTGAAAATGTGAAACAAATGGAAACAAGGAGGCAACTTTGTAATTAAAAGTGAAAATAGAAAACATTTTCCCAAACTAGACAGACCCTTAGTTTAAACCCTATGGTAGACCCTAGACAATCACCCATCCAAACAAAACAAGAACCCAAAACACCAGTGCCGCGCATCAGTCTAAAAGCTACTGTCATCTCCCTTTAGGTTACCATTGTTGGATCAACATAAAATCACTTTATAGTTCTATGTGACTAATGCTATGTTTGTTTTCACGGTGGAACCTCGCCTCATACGCACATCTAAGAGAAAGCTACTATTTGTAGCTTCTTTAAAACAAGTCAAAATCTACATTAGGGGGCGATTTCATGCTTGCAAAAGCTAAACCAAACCTAGGTTCTCAATAATGCACCATACTGCCATAGTGCCGCTATAGCGGCGAGGCCCGTAACAACTACGCTATTGGCCTGTGAAGGTAGTGGTCATAGCTGCCGCGAATAGCGGTTTGGTGGCGGAGCAATAGTATCTTGATGGTGGCTATTTTCATTTTAGGGGAAATTCGTAAACCCTAATATTTTGAAATGTAATTATAAAGTTTTTAAGGGTACATTTGGTCTTTCCAACCCTTTTAGTGACCTAATATTTTTTAAGGGTAAATTTGGTCTTTGCAAGTGTAATATGCTAACTTTCAATAACAAAGGTTATTTTAAACCTATAGGCAACAAACTTGATATTGGTTGGTAGTGGAACACTTATAAATACGACCAATAAAACAACTGCGTTTTTATATTTGTGAGCACCCTTCAATAGCAAGTTAAGAAGCATTGAAGCATCGGTTGAGGATAAGGGCAAAGGCTAATTATTAAGTATAAGTGTTCCTTTAAATCGGTGTATTTTTCTATATTTAAGTATTTTTGTATAGTTGAAGGAGGACTTAAATGAGATTGGAGACAAGCTTTAGAAACGCATGGTTTTCGCCTAAAGAGAAGTAAGACGGAATATATGGAATGTAATTTCAACAAAAGAATAAGTGTTTCTAACCTAGTATGTACATTAATTTTTATTTTTTAGTCTCCACAAGGGCAATCATCTCGTATGCAGCTATAGCATTTTGGGGGACGCACCACTATCCGAAATTAACAACCTAGGACTAAACAACAACAACAACAACAACCAAGCTTTATCCCACTAAGTGGGATCAGTTACATGGATCAACTTTTGTCATTATGTTCTATTCAAGTTCATGTTTCGATCCAAATCGTTAATCCTAAGATCATTCTAAATCACTTTTCATATAGTCTTTACCTAGAACCAAACATATACTAAAATAATAAGTTATTCATTAATAGATGCAACTTCATATTCATCCATGTGTTCTGAAACGGGTATTTATATCCTGCATATTCACCCTCTACATTAACTATCAGGCATTTATATATAGTATATTCACCATCTACATTAACTACCACACATAATGTCTGGATTTGTTGAGTATAAGAATTCAACACTTGTATCCAATGAAGCACGAACACGATATGAGAATCATATACGATGCAATATGTTACAGCAATATGTCAGTGCGACGCACACTATAGCGACATAGCTTAGCAGAACCAGACCTCACTGTGACGCTTTAGAACTGCTAAGCCATGTCTACGATAGCAGGAATGGTGACCGCTATTTGGGGCGTTGAGGCGGCGCTTTTGCCACGCAAACGCAGTTCTATAGCAATTTGCAGACCGCTATTGTGAAGATTAGGGTAAATTTGTAAATTTGAAATTTGTTAAGGTCACATTGGTATTTTGGCCCTTTTATTTGACCTAATATAAAAGCACAAGAGTTTGCTTTAGATCATTTCACGCGTTTTAATCTGTTTCCCTCTTCACTTGCACGTCTGCGTTTCGAAAAGCCATCAACTTCGTCGCAAAACTTCCTTGCACAACTTCTTTGATATTCTTCTTTGCAAATCAGCAAGCCATCCATTGTTCTTTCAAAATCATCACCTTTCTTAATCTACGTCTATTTCTTCACCTTTCTCGTCTATTCACAGCTAGCAACTGTGGCATCATCTTCTGCAAGTGTGACACAAACTTCCAACACCAAGAGTTACTAGACATCACTCTTCTAAACTTGCTACATTAGTGTCTAATGTAGATAAGGTATTGGAGGTGGAAGAGGAGTTTGAATCAAGTGATGAGCAAGATGATATTAATGTGGTAGAATTTAGAAGTGAAGATGAGGCAGATGTAGAAGTGATTTAGTCATTTTGTTTACATTTGTTTACGTTTAGAATTTGGTTTAGTCATTTCGAGTACATTTATAATTTGATTTTGATGGGACTTATATTGATGGTGATGTTAGAATTTATGCGCGTTGCAACTTATTTCAAGTACTTATGTATTCATGTTAAGTATTTTACCTCGGTTTTTAAAGCTCACAATAGCAGTCATTCCACTATGCCGCTATAAGATTTTGAGGGACCGACGCGTATCTGAGATTAGATCGCTAATTGATAAAAAATTATGGGGAATAAAACCAATCTTGAAAAAACGACGACAAAAAAAAGTTAAATGGGGTAGTAAAGAGAATGTCCATTAAAAGATGAGTGAATGATCACTAAAAAGGAAAAAATATGATAAAAATGAACAGTCACGTATCCGCAACGTATCCGAGCCATATTGACATTGTATCAAAAATATATATATTTTTAAAAAAATAATAAAATAAATATGGATATTCTTTCGATCCGTATTGGTTACAATTCGGCTGAGATATTGGCGTATTCATGCTTCATTGGTTGCAGCCAACTATATAATTACTCAAGCAGAACAAAAGGAAATGATATATAACATAACATCAAAATAAATTTATCCAGCTCAGAAGCGAATAGCTCTTACTGAATTGAATGATCTTTAGAGCAGGAGTCATAAATTCTTTGGGAAACTGTAGGAATTTTTCAGTAGCTCTTTGTTCTGACACCAAAGCCTCTTCATAAGTCAAGCCAGTTTTTCCAGTGACTTTACATGCCCAAACCCTCTGGCGGTACAAATTCAAACGGCTCAAATAACCACTATTTTGTGTTAAGGTAGACCAGCCATATCTAATCCATTCACTTTCTACGACAATGTATGAAATGCAAAAATCATATATCATCCACGAACTTTGCAATAAGTGACCGTGACCAAATTTGCTAAATTACCCAAAGCAATCCAATTTCTAACCACATTCAAGTTATTGACAGTAAAGCATTAATGCCAAAAACAAATAAATAAATATAGATGGGCTATGAAGGATACGGATAATCTCGAAATATTTCTTTCGTAAATCGAACTTGGTAAACATGCTCCTCTGGCTTCAAATCCTGAGGAGGCTCAGTCAAGGCAAAGGACTTCTTCTTTAAAAGAGGCATTGAGAAAGAATCTCAGTTCCTTTTAGACATAAACATGCACCCTGCATCCAAAATTCAACAGAACATAAACCTCTGAATTGTAAGATACTATAATTTAAAGAGTTCCATACAATATACCCAATTAAAAAATTTAAACAGTCCCTAAACAACAAGTTTTAAGTAACCAGAACACAGAAGCTACTTGAATGTGAATCACTTTCTACCTCGGCACTGAAACTAACTTCAACCGAGTCAATAGCCTATTCTAAGAAAAACATAACATCAGTAAACTACAATTTAACTTAACTCATTGAGCTAAGTGTCTCTGAAGCAGGAACCCTAACTCATTTCTCAGAAACAAACATTGAAAAGTAACTGTGAGACACAAAGATCAATTGCGAAAAGCATCGAAAAACACCATCATGAAAATTCAGCTTAAAACCAATGCAATGACCTAAAAATGCAACCCAATTTTCATACAAAAAGACTCAAAAGCAAAGTTCCAACACCAAAAACAAAAAAAACAAAAAAAAAAAAAAACGGAAAAAAGACAGTTACAAATATTTAATACTCCAATAAATGCACAGAGTAAAGCCCTACATTGAAAACAAAACCCTCCAACATCGCAGTGTAAGGAGATTAAGCCCCAATACAATAGACCAAAACGAAACCCTAAAATGTGCCTCTTATGGAGATCTCGGAACGGTAAACAACTTAGCGGCGAAATATGCTAACACCGCCGCCGGCGCCAAATAAACAGGCGGCGAAGGGGAGGAATTCGCCGCACTACATTCATGAGAAAAATCGAAACGGAGAAAATGGTAAAAAAAATAAGAAATCGGCGAGAATGTAAAAACGAGGGTTCCCGCCATAACGAAAATGGCATGTGAAAGTTGAAAAATGAATGGAAAGTTGCAGCGGGAAAGAGTGTGTGTTCGTTGTAGAGAGAGAGAGTGTGCGTGTGTGTGTGTGTGAAAGAGAGAGAGTGAGAGAGAGAGGATCTTACAGTGAAGAAGTTGTTGAATGCGTGGTGAAGAGAAAATGCGTGAGTAGGTTTTTGTATTTGAAGCGAAGAAGTTTCTCACGTTTTCGCTTTTCTCTCCCTCCTTCGCTATGGAAAAAACAAACTATTTTATTACTATTTTTTATTTTTATTTTATTTTTTTAATCAAATCAAAGATATATATTAATTCAAAAAAACTGTACAAATACGGTGGTCTACTGACTCGGTCAAACAAACAAAAGGACCTATAGCATTAGATTTGTAAGACGTAATTTAAGTTTTCTATTTTGCCAATTTGTGTTGATATGTTTATTATCTCTAAAGATGAACTCGTTTTTATACATTCAGATGTCATAAATTGCTTCAGTGACTGCAATCCTCATAGTAGATGCTCGTCAATCTTTATCCTTGGTGCTAGCTATAATCCAATTGAACTCTTCCTGCCAGCTTTTAAGACCATGATTAACTTTCATCCAATTCAGCATTCCTTTCCATATAACACAAGAAAACATGTAGTTGAAAAACAAATACTCGATAGTTTCCTCAGTTAAACCACAAATACTATAGATACTATCTTGAATCATTTCAAATCTTTTAAACTTCTCTTTGGTGGGAAGATTACCATGGCATGGAAGCCACGTGACAGTCTTGGCTTTAGGTCTAGCAAGGTTATATCTAATGATTCTACTCCAGTTAACTCTACAGTGATCATCATTAAGCTCCTTGTGCATAGTTTTCATATAAAACTTATTACATGAAAGCATTTGATTCCAATAAGTTTGCACAGCTGCCACACATTCTCTTTGATTATTTATACTCTTCATGATCCAAGACCAGTCATTCCCAAGCTCAATCTCTAGGATATCTTTATCTTTCAGATAGTTCACATGGACCCACTTGACCCAAAGATTGTCACTTTTGCTACAAATGTTCCACAGACATTTCATCAGTGTAACCTGGTTCTAGACAGAAAGGTTAATGACATCCAGGCCACCCTGCTTGATAGAACTATAGACTTTAGTCCAAGCCACTGGGCTTTTCCTGTAAATCTTAGATTTATCTAACCAGATAAATGACCTGCAATGAGCATTTATTTTCTTGATGAAGGAGATGTTTTTTACTAGCTGAATCCTGCCAGCATAGCTTAAGAGCTTGGTGGATCAATGCCTAATTCTACCAACTATACGATCTATAAGAGGAAAATATTGTTGAATGCTCAACTATTTGCTGGTTAGAGGCACTCTGTTGTACCCCAAAATTTTCCCTCTCACTTATCAAGAATTTACTCACAAGATCTCTTTAGGCTCAAGACTGCACTAGGGTTTGATCAGCTCAAGACACCTCCTCAACTACTGATGACCAAAATTAGGATTTGAGTTTGCACAAGGATTTTTGAACTTCCAATGTCCCATGTGACTTTCATAGATCATCATGGACCCCTAAGATTACTCATGACAAGTTCCAGGCCTTGAACCACATTTTTTATCAGTCAATTGGACAGTTGGCCTAAAAATCAGTTGTATTGGGGAAAAGGTCAACCATGGCCAATTTACAGTCAAACTTCATATTTTTTGATCCACGTCAACATTTTAGACTCATGTGTATCATTTGATCAAGTTTGGATCACAATTCCTCAAGAAATTTGATCAAATCATCAAAAGGGCAAAATGGTCAAAATTAGGGTTTTGATTGAGGAAGGGTAATTTCTGATTTTTGACCTAGCAAATGACCAATTGATTTGAAGCATGGTTTCAAGGGTTCATTTGTATCATCTTGACCTAATAGCATGATTCAAAACATTGCAATTTCATTAGGTTGACAGATGAAATTTGCAGTCAACTGATCCAAAGTCAATTGTATACTGAAAAGTCAAACTTTGACTTTTTGGTCAAAATCAAGTGCCAAGGATCATAATTAATTAAAACGTGTCAAAATATGAAACTTGTTCATCAAGGAATCAAAAATTGAAGATTTGGTTTTAAAATTTGAAATTTTCTTAACTTAGAAATTTTTCTAAGTATAGAAAATTTCTTATTTTTTCTCAATTTTATGCCATTTTTTCACCATGATACAAGATGATTCAAAGGAAATTCCCAACATGAAAGTTGTAGATCTCCATGAAATCTACAATTTTGCTTCACACATTTTTCTTTAAAGATATTTGGATCTCAAGATATAATTTTGTGAATACATGCCCATGAACTAAAATAACTTAGTGAAATTTTGCCCTAATTTAGGCAGGATTTTTACCCAACTTCATGGCAATTTTTCACCTAGTTCCAAGGGGAATCTTGAAATGCATTTCAAAGATGAGTTATATAGCACATTACAAGCTTTCTAAAATGTCCAAGAACTCCTTAAGATCATTTTTTAGTAGGGAGAATCGAAGAGATGAAGTTGGCAATTTCTCACTTTGAATTCAAGTCATTTCATGAAGAACAAAATTCAAATCTGAACCTATGTTGCCTAATTCTTGCTTTACAGGTCTCAAACTTGTTTCTCACTTCATAATTTAATGCTTACTCAGTTGACAAAGCATTAATCCAAGCCCAAGGGTCTTTGTCCAAGCTTTAATTCCACAAATGGCACAAAGTTGCCATTGCCATTTTGGAAAAGCTTAACTTTTGCAACTTTTTAATTCTTGAGCATTGGACATGTCTTCTCTGCACGCACAAGTCCTACAAACCTAAAGCAATTTGTATAGATCTTGTACCAACTCCAAGAAGGCCAGTACAAGCATGAGGAGACTTGTCTCTTCACTTTGCTTCAAAAGCAAGAAAGTGTACAAAAAGTTTACAACTCAAAAATATGTTGAAGAGCTGACTTGAAACCTTTTCCATACTAATACACAAACATATTACAGTTTAGAACGCGATTACAAAAGGCCTAAAATACTCCAAAACACCTTCTCACCTAAAACCTGTTAAAAACTTACAATTTGAGCATAAGCATAACAATCCACAAATTTGCTCGTGCGTTTCAAGTTTTAATCATCCAAACACTTTACCTACCTCATATCTAAGTGATCCAGACCATCATCCATGCACTGTAACTCCTCCTTCTTCATCTGCCATTTTTGTTTTCCAAGCTTGCAGGTTGACTTGGATAGAGAGTTTCAGACACTTCCAAAGCAAGGCAAGGATTGGAACACACTCAGGGTGGTCCAAGCAAGCTAAAGGAACCTTCAGGCCTTCCTAAATCACTCAAACTCCATTCACGATCTCAGCTGAAAGAGGTAAGAATTCCAACTTTTATCTCTTCATACAGGCATCCATTGGCCACGATTTGTGAAAGAAAAATGTAGATATTATAGTGTTGAAGCCAACCATGTGCATAGATTTCATTTCTATTCATTATGTGTAGAGAATTTTGAAGTTCAAATTTCTGTAAAAATTAGGTTTAAAATTAGGGCTTTCAAAATTCGTTTTAATCTTTGATTGTTAGTTTCCATAAATTACATGGTTGAAATCGTGGGAATGAGTACTATCATTTTCATATTTGAAGTTTTCATTTTCATGGAGAAATGAGAAAGATACAGGAGTTCTGGCCAGCTTGAGGAAGAAGACGAAGTACAGGGCAAAGGAAGCTGTTTGTGTTATGTTTTTATTGTTTCATATAAACTAACGGATGTACAGCCACCCTAGTGGCAAGGTAGCGCGCTGGCAATGCCCAGGTCATGGGTTCGAACCTTGGCGCTACCTTTTATATTTTTTCTCATTTTTTCAGTTTCAGTTTTGGCATTTTGGCTTGGTTCTTGGACCTTCCTTTTTTTTTCTAACACACTACTCCCTGTTTGCTTGCAGCACCCCTGGCCCAATCATTTTATTTATTTGTTTTATTTTATTTTTTGTTTTATTAAATATTTTCTTAAATACATAAAAATCATGAAAAATATAAAACATGATAAATTTTACATTTTTGTTTATTTTCTTTTATTTTCACATGAAAAAATATTTTTATTAAACTATATATTAATTATTTCTTTCTTAAATAAACTTGTAAATATAAAAGAATTAGG